TAGCCTGATTTGTTCTTATTTTAATTATAGGTTATTGTATGTTAAGTCATTTGTCTTAAATTTTTAATGTCTGAAGAAGATACAAAATTCGCAAGTCCAAAAATTCTTTGTACAGCATACTAGTGAAGAAATTTCAGGTACTCGAAAATTTTTATTTAAAATTTCAGGCTCGAGTATATTTTTAAGTACTCGTAAAGAAAACTCCCGAGTACGAGTACTGAAGATTTTGTAGTCGAGTATACTCGTACTCGCCCATCTCTACAGGAGAAGCCTTCAACTTGGGACATACAATTACATTTACAGAAAAGAAATGCAAATAAAATGAATATCGAGTCCATGATAGACTCTGAGTTACCGACACGAAAACCAGATCTATCATTTGCTGCTGACGAAATGATATTAGGTGAGTAAATCTCCAAGTGAATGACCCTTTTTTTTTATACACATTCAGATTCTGCTTTTGCTTTTTATCATTGTTTTTATGCAAAAAACGAGACTTTTAATCGTGCTAGCGAAAAGGCTATATGAATGACCGACGAGGAAATATAAAGGGTTGATACTGATGTTTTTTCAAAACGTTTTCTTCATGTAGGCACGGTTAATAATGATTCAAAGGAGTTAGGAATTAAGAAAGTATCTTCGCAAGTAGAAGATAGGATGGGGTTAGTTGCTCTGCAAACAAAAGGTTCGGCAATTTATTACATTCTTACTAAGAAGAAGCGATTAACAGTAAGATACTACTTTCTACATTAGATAGCTCTTCGGGAATTTTACAAAGAATCGACACTAATGTATTTGTGAATGATTTTAATCACCCAGCAGACCGCATCTCTGGAGCTGTTGGAAAAGATGATAGAAGTACGTATATATACTACTGTGTGGCTTTTGGAACAACTGCTTGCATTTAATTTGATTTAGAGATACTGCACAAACTTCGATTCGATTGTCGTTTACATTTCCGTGGTTTACAGAATCTCGGTAACACTTGCTATGTGAAGTCATCGATAGCTAATACTTTGAGCTTGACAATTTTATGGCCAAATGCCAGTGATGCTACTACGCATAGTAAGCTATTTAAAGTGTTGATTAGGATGAATCTATAATACGTCTAAATTACCGGTACAAAGATAGCGTTGATTAAAGATTGCTTGCAAGACAACTCAGGATTATAAAAAAAGGTTTTTCGATTCTAAATTTGGTATCTATCTCCTAATTAATTTTGCTCAGTTTCAGATCTACCTTAGTATTGTGATCGAAAGTATTAAAAATGTAGTGCAGAACAATAAATTATGCTATTAAAGGAGAACTCCGATCTTTCTTCTTGAGTTCTTACTACAAATATGTGTACTGCAACTGTTGTTTTTCTTTTGAAAAAGATTTGCAGAGAATCAGAGATGAGCTCGCACTTAGGGCCTAAACGAGTGTATCGGTCTTTATCACTTAAACACATTCTGTTTCCTTAGTATTGTCACTCTTGTCAGTACTATTGCTCCGTTTAGATGAAACGTCATGTATGCAATGTATGGTAGAAAACCTTATGTATAACGTTCGCCAACCAGGTGCGAAGCCAGTACGTTCATCGATAAGATCAAAATATTAAATGATAGATTTGTTGTCCCAATCCAGCAAGATCTAGATGAATTTCTTCAATTATTGCTCATCCGAATGATCAGTGTTGGACAGCGGTGGTCTTCATGCCTTCAACTTACCAACATGCTAAGAAATTCAACGAGCGGATCACAAGATTTAACGATTATCGATCATTCATTCAATATGCAATTAGCAACGTATTGCATTTGTGAAAGTACTTAGGTCTGACCAAAAGTTCGTGCACTGCTATTGGCAGTTTCTTAGACCAATTAACATTGGACTTATTTTTTTCATAATTAAATAGTGGAAGGTCTTTCCTATAATAATATGTATAGCAACTCGTTTTTGAAGTTGGTCCAACATTTTTTTCAGATAAAATATAATTCGACCCAAAAAAAAATGGATAATGAATACAATCGATACTATATTAGAATTCGAACTATTTTGGGAATAGCTCCAAAGACAATCCACGAGGAACTAGCAACAGCTTTAGGACCTGATGCTCCAGCATATCGAACAGTTGCAAAGTGGGCCGAACGTTTCCGTGAAGGAAGAGAAGATGTCAATGATGACCCTCGATCCGGTCGTCCGGTTTCCGAACTTACAGACGAAAATATTGAACTGGTACGACAGGTTATTAGCAATGATCCACATTCAACTTATGATGATATTATAGCTGAGACATTTCTCTCTCACGGTACAATCGAACGAATTATCCATGATCATCTCAAGATGAGAAAAGTTACATCGCGTTGGGTGCCCCATCAACTAACTGCTGAACAAAAGGAAGAACGAGTTAAACTTTGTCGTGAAAATTTGGCCAAATTTCGTGCTGGTTCTTGGCGATTATGTGACATTATTACAGGCGATGAGACGTGGATTTACCACAGACAGATTGGTCGCAAGTCAACAAATGCTAGCTGGATTGCCGAAGGTCAATCACCAGCAACTATAGTTCGTCGAGGCAGATTTGAACCAAAAAATTTATTCTGTATATTCTTTAAATCAAATAGTCCTGTTCTTGTACATACTGTTGATAAAGGCGAGACTATTGATCATACTTATTATATTGAAAATTGTCTCAAGCCCGTTGTCAAGGAAATATGGAAACAAAGAAGGTAAAATGGTACAAAAGGTATAAAACTGCTTCATGATAATGCTGGACCCCATCGCCATTCAAATGTTATTAACTATTTAACAGAAGAAGGTATCAATATAATGCCGCATCCACCATATTCACCGGACCTTGCACCATGTGATTATTGGCTAAACCATTATATCAAGAACCGTTTAACTGATCAACCAGATGAAAAATCTTTGGCTCGCGCGGTTTCCAAGATAGTAAAAAATATTTCAGAAGAAGAGTTTAAAAAAGCTTTTGACAAATTGTTGGAAAGAATGGAACTTTGTATAAATAATCATGGTGACTACTTTGAACATTTAATGAAATAAAATTAAAACTTTCTCTTTATCTTCATATTTTTTTCTATCGATGCACGAACTTTTGGTCAGACCTAAGTAAGACATGCGGTTATGTATCCAGAAGTGAAAGTAATGACCATTTTCTACGGGTAAGCATAACACAGTCCACTCTGCTTCGGTGTTTAACGGATTTTTTCGAAGCTGAACAGCTCGTTGACGCCGTAGATTGTGACAGATGTAAACAGAAAAGCTTACGCTGGAAAAAATTTTCTATTTCTAACCTTCCAAATAATATAGTCATAGTGCTAAAGCGTTTTGACTATGAGCTTGATTTAAGAAAAATTTCGACACCAGTCGCCATTCCTGATTGTATTAATATTGATGAACATGTATATCCAGGATATCTCGCCAGATTAGATTACGACTTATATGCCGTGATTGTACATAAAGGTAGCGGTTGTCATCAGGGGCATTATTATCTGTACGTTAAAAACTCTGACAAAAAATGGGTTTTGATTAATGATGATAAGATTTACAATGTATCATTGAATAAAGTGCAAAGTGAGATTACAGATGCTTATATAATGTGTTATGAGAAACTAGAAAGAACAGCAGTAAATGTGCAAACAATTCACCAAAATCAATTAGAACAGTCAGGTATCATCATTATCAGGGTGTTTCATGTAGAGATGTTTTCGTTCAATATGGATGAACGGTTAAAAAAAGACCGACCTAAATACTAAATAATTCTTGTATTTTCGCCATTATTTAGATACATCTGAGAATATAGATCCTAACGTTCACACTAGCCAGACCAATACTTCTTTGGGGCTACAGACACAACCTCCTGACAAACGAAAAGGTTAGTATATGAATTAAAACACTGGTAGAGTATTTTTCTTTTTACATCAGGTATAATAAATTCTGCCGAAAATATATCAACAAAAAATATGGAAACGGATGACAAAGCTAATCTCCTCTTTCTTTAGCAGTAGCAGATATTTTAAGCTCTTCCGCTTCAGTTATAAATACGTTGCAATCATTGAACAGATATCCATAGCAAGTAGATAAAAGTGACGAAGAGAATTTCCAGGATATCAGACATAACTCTCAACTGACACTAAGGTTAAGACGATAAATTTTAAATCTTTTATTTCATGGCTCAAGTATGCTTTTATTTACCGTTAGATGAATGAATAATATCTAACATATAGGAACACCCTACCTAAGCCGACAGGCCGGTGTAGAGAAACGGACTGTGTAGTCATGATCCCTATGGTCTAAAACCTTTGTACATTTAATAGGAATGCCACCTTTTTCCATAAAATTTCGACGGTTGCGATCCTATTGTTTCTCTCTACAGGATTGGTTCCTGCATTTTCATTCGCGCCAAGTTCGACCTATACTGATTTTTTTCTGTAGCTGTAGTAATCTCCAAAATTTGACAAAATTAGGACATTTAATGATGTGCAATTGCCGAAAATGGAATAAACAGGTCACAGCAAAGTAGAATGGTCATAGAAATATTAAAAGCGGAGCCAAAATCTCTCATTAATTAAATACGGCGCGAAACAGCCAAAAAGAGAGAAGTCATTTACTTATGAGAGACGGTGCTCTTTTCTTTCGTTGTTATATTGCTTATTTAATGTTAGAACTGAAGAGTTCTAAAAATAATAATGAATTAAATAGAAACTCTCTAAGCAAAAAGTTGATAAAAGAAGGACGTGGACAGGGATTCAGTGCTTTTAATGATTAGTGAGACCAGCGAGAGCAAAATGGTTTTCCACCTTGAATAATGAATTTCCGTTCTGTTTTTCACGCTGAGAAAAGTATATCCCACTTTGTTTTCCACTTCCTCTTTTTTTCATATTTTTCTGCCTTAGAAAAGTAACCCATCGATCTCTGTTTGTTGAACACATGTGAGCGAGAGAAGCAATATAATTTCTGTTTAATTCTCTAATTTTCATCACGATAGGACATGGCTAGTATCTGACGATTAACATCAACAGGATATTAGTCAAAAAGGATTTGTGCCGTTTATCTAAACGTATAAAAGTTTTGCAGCGTTTCTTTTTCTTCAGAAGTGAAGTGTTCAACGCACAGCTAAATAATTCAGTTACATTTTATTTTAAATGAGCCATCTAAGATGACTGGCAACAGGACGTCCTACAATAATCAAAGTCTGCTTGATAAATTGGTAATTGATCAGGATAGAGAAGTTAATTCGGTCCATTTAACTGAAGGTGACAAAATGAAACCCCTGTGACGATAAAAATATCTCTGTTAGCCGGTATTAGACAAAAATTTTAACAGTTCCCATTTTGTCCACTTTACATTCCATATTAAAGTGGAAAATCCTGTTTTGACGCTAACAGCAAAGTGGAAAGTTCCACTCTGAGAAAGTTCCTGTTAAAAACACTGCAGAGATTGAACCTGCGACCACTCATTTTGGAAGTAAATGCCTGTAACCAATAGGCCACACATCACTACTTAAAGTATTCTCTTCTTGTTTATGTTGATAAAATATATTTTGTAGAATGAGCATTCCAACTTTCGGTATATTCCACTTTTTGACTGTTTTAATCATAGTTTCTCGAACCCTATTAATAAATTATACTGTCTTCCATTTAAAATTTAATTTTTGAATGTGTGAAAAACTCTGAAACTTTAATTCCAATTTCATTCGACAGCTTGCGTGAAACTCTACAAGGAAAGTCTTTTTTCGTCCCTTCAACCGCTTTCTCAACTTTACATCAGCTCAGAAACTGATTTTCAGCAAAAAACATATTTTACACACCAAAAGATCAACACACGCACATTTTGTACCGGAATATTCAGGTCAGATCGACGCAAGTCGCATCCGTCACCAAAAAAGTTTTAGATCTAACAATTAAGACGCAAGAAAACGACAATATTTTGCCTATTCAGTAGCTATGTGACTAAGAGGCAATCGATCACATCATGTTTTATTCGGACTGTTCTTCGAGAATATGATGGAATCAGTTTTCTGAGTTTTCCTCGATCATACGGACTCTTGCCATACTGCTACATACCCATTATGCATTAAACATTTCACCCTTTTGCATCATGTTCTTGAAGAAAAAACCGGGTAAAACATCGTGCAATAACTAGATAACTCAGTTCTTCACAGAGTTATTACTTTGATTTATTTTATTCACGAAAAGCGAGAGTCATCAAGGGTCCGTGGCCTAGAATAACAATGATCCAAGCCAACAACACAAACAAAGTAAGAAAAGTAAAGATACAATAAGAGATACAAATATCAAAAAGAAGTACTGTAAACATGCTTTTCAAAAAAGCAAAGAGAAAAGCAAAGATCGGACTTCTCGCTCTGAGTTCCGAAAAAACTTTTTATATAAAAAGTAATACGAAAAGTTGAACGATAGATCTTTTCCAATCTTTTAAAGGTTACATTGCTCTCTTCAACTATTAGAGCTCTATCGTTTAGTGTATCTTTATCTTTTTCTTGATGTCGCATGCAGATTATGCTTTCCTTTCTGTATGTATCCTAATGTCTGACATACAGATATCTGCATGCGACATCAAGAAAAAGATAAAGATACGCTAAATGGTAGAGCTCTATTCTATATCGAAGAAAAAATAAGAATAAGAAAACGAAAGAGAAATTCACGTGTGCAAATCTCGCGTGCATTCACTATACTAAGAAGAAAAAGACTAAACATCACAACAATCGATATCAGTAGTGAACCGATTATATTCTTATTCTTATTTTAACTTAAAGAAGTTGAATGATAATTTACAGAGAGCGAGTTGAGAGATGTGAATGGAATTGCGTGTACTTATTTTGAACTCAAATTCTTACTAATTTTGAAAAGTGTTGCATCATGTTCCCGAAGAGAAAACCGGGTAAAACATGATGAAATCGAATCCTAACTGTCATAAGAAAATTCATTTAAGATGAGTTTTCTTGCCCATAAAAGTTGTGTTTTTTTCTCCTGTGCTTAAAAGGAGAGAGAAAAAAGTTTTTGTGTCATGATCTGACTGATGATGTCCTTTGAAAAAATCGAAACTAGTATCAATTGAAACGGTTAACTTCACTATGTATAAGCTAGTGTTAGTCTTATTATCGATTTTGAAATTCTTCACGATTGAAAATGATTCAGAAGCCACGCCACGTATTTTGTCTTCCTAATTTTTGTTCATTCTTCAATGAAGAAGAGCATGAAAACATGTGCTCTTTTCAAAACAAAATACATGGTTCAATTCGCTATAGTACTCTGAGTACATCTAAATAATGTTGAGAAGGTCATAATTCACTTGGTAAGCAGAAAAAGCTCTTCGTATGACATGTACGTCAAAACGCCATGTATTAGTGTGAGAGTGTCGAAATTCTGAAGAAAAAGTAAGTGGCTTTGGAAACTAGGAAAGGACATGAAAGCAAAAATTTCTAGACACATGTCTTTTCTTTTGTTCTGTTCCCTGTACACTAGAAAAGGACATATATCAGATGAATATGGGATTAGAGACCTGCATGGACAATTTTTTTTTGTCCATGGACAAAAGTTCTTTTTCTGTCCATGTCCATCAGTTTGTCCATGAAATGTTCGCGTTTTTTAAATACGTTTTGCGTATGAGAATTAGAGACCTGCATGGACAATTTTTTTTGTCCATGGACAGATTTAAAAAAACTATCCATGGACATGTCCATCTAATGCAGG